GTGGGCGGGACTGGGTGCGCAGGTGTTAGCGCTGGGTTGAGCTAAGGGGCTAGCTCAGCGCTTGTGGAGACCCCGGACAGCTACAGCCTGCGTGAGCAGAGCCGGGCCGAGCCTGCCCTCCCCCCACCAGCGTGCTGTAACCTCTCTGAGGGGGCCCTGGTAGATGTTGCTGATCCCCTCGTGTGCTGAGCTCCCCCCCCGACAGCTACAGCCTGCGTGAGCAGAGCCGGGCCGAGCCTGCCCTCCCCCCACCAGCGTGCTGTAACCTCTCTGAGGGGGCCCTGGTAGATGTTGCTGATCCCCTCGTGTGCTGAGCTCCCCCCCCGGAGAAGGAGGAATGCTCGCGCCAAGCGCCTCTCTGGTCCTGGTGTCCGGACTCCTCACGTGCGTGTCTGCTTTCTGTTCTAGCTAGCCCTGCTGGAGCTCAACTTCCTGCCTACCACGGGCACGAAACTGACCAAGCAGCAGCTGATCTTAGCCCGTGAGTACCACCCCTCGTTCGCGAGAAGGAGCTTGTCCTGCCCCTCCGCCCCCGAGGCAGCAGCCTGCGTGCTCTAGTGCCCACCGTCGCTGGGCATGGCAAGCAGCCAAAGGGCACTGGATCGAATATGCTGCCTCCAGACCGATGCTTCTGGTGACAGGCAGAGCCCCCCCAGGAAGCCGGCCGGCTGGCTGCAGGACTGGGTGCGGAGGAGAAGAATCATAGAACTGGAAGAGACCTCAGAAGGTCAAGTCCAGCCCCCTGCTCTAGGCAGGACCAATCCCAACTAAATCAACCTGGCCAGGGCTTTGTCAAGCTGAGACTTAAACACCTCTAGGGATGGAGACTCCACTACTTCCCTAGGGAACCCATTCCAGTGCTTTGCCACCCGCCTAGGGAAATAGTTTTTCCTAATATCCAACCTGGACCTCTCCCACCACAACTTGAGCCCATTGCTCCTTGTTCTGCCATCTGCCACTGAGAACAGCCTCTCTCCATCCTCTTTAGAACCTCCCTTCAGGAAGTTGCAGGCTGCTATCAAATCCCCCCTCACTCTTCGCTTCTGCAGACTAAACAGATCCAAGTCCCTCAGCCTCTCATAAGTTCCTTTCCTGCCCATGGGCCCTGGTGAAGGTTTGTTCTGCCCTGCTGTAGCAGCAGTGCTGGGAACAAAAAAGGCCTTTAGCAGTTTGGGGCAGGCAAGAGGCCCCCCTGCCTGCACCCCGCCAGTCAAGCTCTCTTGCTCTGCTCTTCCACCTCTGTCTGCCCCAGGGGATATTCTTGAAATTGGAGCCCAGTGGAGCATCCTGAAGAAAGACATCCCGTCCTTCGAGAGATACATGGCGCAGCTGAAATGCTACTACTTCGACTACAAGTGAGTGTCGACCCCGGGGTTCCTAGCGCTCCCACTTCGCTCAGCGAGACTCAGGTGCGGGATCCCAGTGGCACCTGGTCTCATGCCGCACTGGATTGCATCCCAGTCACGGTGCTGGGCGAATGGCTCTGGTCAGGAGGCACCCCTGTCGGGTCTCCTGTCTCTCTCAGCCCGGGAGGGGTGCCCTGCAAAGCCAGTGCACCAGCACAGTGCACATTCCCGGGAGCGATTCTTTCTCAGCCCCAGGGGAACGGGCCCTCGGGGTGGTCTCCCTGCTGGCCAAGACCCCTCTTAATAAAGTGGCCAAAGAGAAACACTGAACCAAAATGCTTCTTGCTGCCACTCAAGGGCTGTGTTGCTAGCACGCCAGACAAGTGAGAAAATGTGGTTCTGGAATTAGGGGAGAGAGGTAACTAGTGATGTCCCCCATGGGCCCTATTCCTGGGTCCAAAGCAAACTGGGAAGAGCTTCAAGAGAACCTGGCCAAACTAGGCATCAAAGTGGTAGATCAAATTCAGTGTTGATCAATGCAAAGCAACACACATTGGACAACACAATCCCAACTACATGTATGAAATGAGCTGTTACCGCTTGAGTGTGATCTTGGAGTCACTGTGGCGAATCTCTGAGAACATCCGCTCTGTGTTCAGCAGCCCTGAGAAGTGCAAATTTCTGCGAGAATGTTTAAGAAGGGGAGAGTAAGCCAGAGAATCGCTTCACTGCCTCTCTCCAAACGTGTGATACACCCATGTCTCAATACTGCGGGCAGACGTGGTCGCCTCGTGTCAGAAAAGAGATCTTGGACTGGAAATAGTTCAGGAAAGAGCAACAAAAATGAAGGGTTTGGAACAGCTGCCATATGAGGAGAGGTTAATAAGACTGGGACTTTTCAGTTGGGAAAAGAGATGTCCAAAGTGGGGAGTAAGAGTTTTCTAACGTGACTGATGTGGAAAAAGTAAATAAAGAAAAGTTATTTACTCCTTCCTATAAGAACTAGGGGTCACCCAATGAAATGAATAGTCAGCAGGTTTAAAACAAACCAAAGGAAGTTTTTCTTCACTCAGCGCATAGTCGACCTGTGGAACTCCCTGCCAGAGGAAGTTGTGAAAGCTAAGGCTATAACAAGGTTCAAAAAAAAGCTAGGTAAGTTCATGGAGGTTAGCTATTAGCTAGGCTGAGTAGGGATGATGTCCCAGGCCTCTCTAGTCAGAAGTTGGGAATGGAGGACAGAAGTGGGATCACGCAGTGATTCCCGGCTCTGGGGCACCTGGCACTGGCCGCTGTGGGCTGGAGGGACCTTTGGCCTGACTTAGTCTGGCCGCTCGGATGTTCTGAATAAACCCAACTGGTGTGTTGGAGACTCCACCTAATTGGCGGCCGGAGCAGTGAGGGGACAGGCAATTCCACTTGGCATTCTCTTTGGGTCCTTGGAGAAGAGACGGGGGGGCAGACAGAGGCTCCTGAAGCGAACGTCTTTGTGGCTGGGTGGCCAGGCCTGGGGTGAAAGAGGCTTGGGCTTTGACAGCAGCGAGTCGGTGCCTCTCAAGGCCCTGGAAGGCCAGTTACGCTGCCCCAGAGCCCTCGGAGCCTGCCCGCTGGGCGCTCCCCGTGGTTACGGGGAAAGGGCGCAGGGTCGTGCTGGCATGAGGCTCTGCGTTACGCTGCTACGGAACAGGCTGAGCGCTTGGGGGGACGCCCCACAGCCGCGGGCCCCTCCCGCTGCGACGAGCTGCCGGAGTCCGCCTACAAGCATCAGCTTCTAGGCCTGAACCTGCTCTTCCTGCTGTCCCAGAACCGCGTGGCCGAGTTCCACACCGAGCTGGAGAGGCTCCCCGCGAAGGACATCCAGACCAACGTGTACATCAAGCACCCCGTCTCCCTGGAGCAGGTAGCCCCACCGGAGCCCGAGTGCTATCAGCTCGGGTGACATCTGTCCGGCAGCCGCAAGCCTGGAGCTCGGGGCACCGTGTGGCTACCGCTGCCGCTCTTGGCTGAGCTGTGCAACAGGCCCTGACTGGTGTTGACACATTCCCAGCATGCTCTTGGGTAGGACTGGCATGTGCCCCTTGAATCCTGGACAAAATCTGGAGCCATCCTGCTTCCCCAAAGGCCCCTCCCTGTTTCGCCGAGTCTGTACCTCTGGCCGCATTGCTGTGCGCAGTGAAACTGCAGTCCAGAGGTGGCTGCATCTTAGCGGAGGGTAGTGGGTGCATGTGTCTGTGGGGAGCAGGGGTCAAGTCCAGCTGGTCCAGCCCCTTGACTCCTCCTTCTCTCCCTGGATAGTACCTGATGGAAGGCAGCTACAACAAAGTGTTCCTGGCCAAGGGCAACATCCCTGCGGAGAGTTACACCTTCTTCATCGACATCCTGCTGGACACCATTCGGTGAGTCGTCCCTCCTGCGGGCTGTGGCCGGGACTCCGGCATGGCGCAGGAGACGTCACCCCGCCTGGAACGCCCCGAGCAGATGGGGGTTTCCCAGCGTGGCTGCCAGGTGCAGGCTGTTACCAGCCTGGAGTTGCTTCCGTTGGGTGTGTTCGGTAGCGCCGAGGAGCCCACGGCGTGGACCGCTGCGTGAGGAGCTGCCCAAACGAAACCCCCCCGGCCCTGAAACGCTGCGATCTCCCTGCTGTGAAACACTCGCATGGGGAGTAACGTGTTGATCCTTCCCGTAACCCCTTAGCCCACCCCCTGCTGCCCTGCGCCTGCCACCACTCCATGAGCCCAAGCAGTAGTGCCCACCGATTCTGGGCAACCCGTCTGAGCCCCCAGCCCCTTTGCAAAGGCCCCGACTCAAGTGCCAGGCCAGGGCTGTGGTGTGTTTCTGGCCTCTTTAACCGTAGTCTCTGAGCACCCTGCAGGCTGCAGTGGCTTTCTCCTCACAATCCCCCCACCCTGCTTTGGGAGGGCAGCTCTTCCTGTTACAAATGGGGAAACCGAGGCAGGCCTGCAGGCTGCCCAAGGTCACACAGCCACTGGCGGGTATGGGGGTATTCCCCCCCGGTGTATTCTGGGAGGTGGTTTTCTCCGTTCTCTGGCCCATCGGGGTGGGGTGCCGGGGCTCCGAGGCGGCGCTGAGCAATCCGGTGCTCGGCTGGCTGCTGGCTCCCATGCCCACACTGCGTGGTGGGCGTCCGTGGGATCAAGGCGTTTCCCCCAGGTCGGACTGGCAGGGACCTTGTGGATTGTCTCCCTCTGCCGTGGGGAGTGCAGGTCCCTGGCCAGGCTGATGTGGGTGTCTAGGACCATTGCAGAGGCCTCGGGCCTGCAGACCTGCATGTGGCACCCAGCAGCCTGGTCTCTGGGCTGTGACGCTGCACTGCGTGGTGGGCGTCCGTGGGATCAAGGCGTTTCCCCCAGGTCGGACTGGCAGGGACCTTGTGGATTGTCTCCCTCTGCCGTGGGGAGTGCAGGTCCCTGGCCAGGCTGATGTGGGTGTCTAGGACCATTGCAGAGGCCTCGGGCCTGCAGACCTGCATGTGGCACCCAGCAGCCTGGTCTCTGGGCTGTGACGCTGCTCCCGCTTTGCAA